AAGAGACATTTCAACACCCAACATTTTAAAGCTGCTTCCTTTGTTTCCTGAGTGACATATTGACTCCTGCAATTCTCTGTATACTGATTTTTCTCTGCTTCATTAAGAGTTTCTTGCTTCTTGCCCACTTGTTCTCTGAAAGAGTCTAACAGTGCAGGGATTTTCTTTTTGTGTCTAGAGGTTATCCAGGTACTGTTTTCCAGAATATCTTTGCAAAGCCAATATGCACCCACAACTCAGTACATAAATATCCTCCTTATACTAACCTCTGGGACCATACCTATTTCTAGTTGAAACTCTGCAAGGATGTGGTAAAGATGTTGTGTTTTCCCCCCAATTTTTATTTATTTATTGTTTTTATTAAATGTATCCACATATCAGATATAGTACATTTATCCTTGTGAGTCACTTCCCCCCCCTTCTCTACCCATACATAAAACTTTCCCCATCTTTTCACAAATATCTCATAGTCCTTTCCTTGCAAAAGTAAACTTAGTCTGTCCATCTCCGCTAATGATAACATTTTATCTAACAGTTCTTCTTTGGGGGGGATTTTTTCTTCTTTCCAGTATTTTGCTAATAAGATTCTTGCCGCAGTAAATGTGTAAAGCAATCAAAGGACTCAAAATTAATAAAGAAGAATTTAAAGTTCAAGCCTTTGCAGATGATCTAGTATTTATATTGGAAAATCCAGTAGCGTATTTAAAACAATTAATAGAAATAATTCAAGCATATGGTCAAGTAGCAGGGATGAAGATAAACTTTAAAAAGTCAAACATAATAACGAAAAGCATGACAGAAAAACAAAGGATACAAATTATAGAACTTTCCAAAATGGAATTGGCAAAAAAAAGTTAAATATTTAGGTATAACGATATCAAACAGGAATAATACATTAATGAAAGACAATTATAACAACTTATTAGCTGAAATAAAAGATCTACAAAGATGAAAAAACCTAAAAATCTCATTCATGGGAAAAATAGCGATAATAAAGATGAATGTGTTGCCTAGATTTTTGTTTCTGGCACAAAACCTACCAATATTAAGGGAAAAAATGTTTCCAAGAATTGGAAAAAATGTGTAGCAACTTTATCTGGAGTGGTAAAAAAGCATGAATAAACCAAAAAGTTATGCAGGATAAGAAAGAAAGAGAGGGCTTGGGACTGCTTAATTGGGAAATATACTATAAAGCAGCAACTCTGACTTGGATTAAGGAATGAATATTATTAGGGATGCCAAGTCCCCCCGGGATCGAGCCCCCGGGGTGAACCCCACCACCAAAGCACATCACACGGAAGTGACGCAAGCATGTCGGGAACACATCCAGCCTGTGCTGAAGGCACTGCACTGGCTGCCAATAGCATACCAAATCTGCTTCAAGGTGCTGGTATTGACCTTTAAAGCCCTATATGGCCAGGGTCTGACATACCTGCGAGCACTATAGTCAGGAACACAACATCGACTGACCATTCCTGGCCCTAAGGACGCCAGGCTTGCGGCCACCAGGGCCAGGGCCTTTTCAGTGGCGGCTCCACACAGGTGGAATGAGCTCCCGGAAGAGATCAGGGCCTTTGGGACTTATTGCAGTTCCGCAGGGCCTGCAAGACGGAGCTCTTCCACTAGGCTTTCAGTTAGGAGCCGCCACTCCTCCTCCACCACCACCAACATCAGTGGTTTTGGGTTGGCTCTGGTGCCAGGGAGGGTTTGCGTTATATTACCACACCAAGCTGAAGATCATCAATGCTGATAAAAATGGTTAGTATGCCATCTGAATCATTCAATGATTACCATCAAAGAGTACCATCACTAGCACTTTAATTGTTAATTGTTTTTAATGCTTAATGTTGTCGTTGTAAGTTGTTTAAATTTTGTACATGGTTTTTATGGTACAGGGTACCAATTACTGTAAGCTGCCCTGAGCCTGCTTGCGGGGGGGGGTATAAATCAAAATAATTAATTAATAAATAAATCTGTATATTGATAACAACCAACCCCAAAATTACAGATGATGTGGCCTCTACAGAAGGATTGAAGAGCTTGGGGGTTAGGATTGTTCCCTTATGGACTCCCACAGGGTAGGTCCCACACTGATGATCTGGTCTCCAGTGGCAATTCTTTGAGTACAGTCCATGAGGAATGAGTTGAACCAGTCCAATGCACAACCCCTGATTCCTTCTTCTGCCTCCAGGTGCCTCAACAAGATGGCATGGTCCACTTTGTCAAAGGCAGAAAATAAATCCAATAGGAGCAACAAGAGACCTGACCTTTGTCTACATTTAGATGGACGTCATCCACTAAAGCCAGCAGAGCCATCTCCATTCCATAGCCTGGTCAGACACCAGACTGAAAAGAGTCTAGAGCAGATGAGTTATCCAAAAAGACCTAGATTTGGTTTGCTACTGCTATCTCAATCACTTTGTCTAGGAAGGCAGATTAGAAACAGGGCGATTATTGGCTACAATATTTTTCTGTAGGGATGCTTAATGCCAATAAAGGTAACTGAACTGAAAGATGGTCTTTTTAGTAGCAAACAAATAACCAACCACCTTTCTGAGCGGCTGAGGGAAGGTGCCCTGATTTAGTGATTGGTTTATAATAGATACTAAGGATTTATTGATGTGGTCTTTGCATGATTTTAGAAGCCAGGATGGGCAAGGATCCAGGGCACAAGTAGTGGCCCTCACAGATCCCAGGAGTTTGTTGACATCCATCATGTAAACTAGGTAAAGGTGGTCCATAAATAGAACGGGTGGTGTATTAGACACTTCTTCTGATGGATCTGTGTTACAGTCAGTGTCCAAATCAGAGCATATTCTTGCTATTTTATCAGCAAAAAACTTTGCAAAAGTATCACAACTAATTGTCTGGTCCTGATACAATGAAGGCTTAGTTTTAGGAGTTGACAGATGCCTTGTTACCTTAAACAATTGGGATGGTCATGAACTAGCTTATGGAATACTAGCAGAGAAGTAACGTTTCTTAGCAACTTTTGCCACCGCTTCAAAGGTCTTACAGTGAGCTCTATGACATGATCTGACAGATTCAGTACGAATTCTCTGCCAGTGCCATTCTAGACATCTCCCAGCCCTTTTCACATCACCTAGCTTTGTGGTAACCCAAGAGTAGGACAGGTCAGTCAAGGGGTGACCTTGTTGGTAGCCTCAAGGAGCATCAGATTAATGCTTCTACTGCAACCTCAACAGTGTTTGGAATCTTAAAATCCCTTAGAGCATTCTGGAATCCAGTAGGATTCATGAACCTCTGTGGGTGGCCCATTTTAACCAGGCCCCTTCTGTGGTGTGCTGGAGCCGCATTGACCTTGGTTCAGGGTGAATCTCCAGGGTGTGATCCCTTTCATGTGTTGGGCCAGTAATGATTTGGGAGAGGCCCAAGGCAGACAAAGAAGTTATACTTGGCATGAATGTTGAAGTCCTGCAGAATGATGAGTCTGGGTGTCTCCAGCACTACATCTGAGACCACCTCCTCTTGTACAGACAAGGCACCAATGGAGACTTAAGCAGAATGTCTAATCTATCCTTCATCCCTAATGTGAGGTGTATACAGTCAATGCCAGTGATGGTTTACACTGGAAGTCTGTGAAAGCTGAAGTACTCATATGGAGGATAATGGCCGTGCATCTTCCCTGACCAACTGTGCATGGTTTATGGATGAGGGACTACATAACCAATTGGTGGTAGGTGGGACACCAAGGTTCTATGGAAGCAAGTTCATTTATGCAAATATCCTGAGGGGGAAACATAATAACTCACTTGAGTGTTAACACTCAGGTAAAGATTCAAAATATCTCACATTACTTAGAAAATATAGATGGTGGTCACACGCGCGAGATAATGCGGGGGGGCGGGCGGAAGCAAGGCTATTTCCTCCAGAGGAATTTGACCCGCAGTTGTGCGATCACACAGTCCTTTGAAGCTGCGGGGGCAGCCAGCCACTGCGTGATCAGATGCAACCACGAGTGAGTTGGGTTGGGTTTTTTTGGCCATTTGTTCCCGATGCACTTAAATGGGGAATTGATGAATCACACCTCAGCACTGAGGGCTCCCTGTGGAGTGTGTGATGATGCGCATACTGAGAAGGGGGGGGGAACAATGTCATGGAGTTGGGATGGCCTGATTAGGCCATCCTGATGCCATGAAAGCACACTGGAGCAATCAGACAGGGGAAAGTCCGTCTGTGGCCCGTAGCAACCCGTTTGCTACCAGACTTTCCCCGGTGTCTTTTTACTCCGCTTCAGTGGCAGCACAAAACAGGACAGGTGCGGGGCGCTTCCCAGATGTTCATGTCTGATCGTGCCCTTTAAATCTGCCTGGCATTCGCGCCTATGGCGGGGCTAATTGTGCATGTGATCGCGCCCTACAGTTTGGCATTCTGCCTCATGGATTAATCAAGACAATTGATGCTGAGCTTTTCATTCAGAAAGAGGTTCTTCTGGCATTGTGTCTATTCAGAATGATGAAGAAATAAGAAAACCTCCAATTATTTTTTTTTAAATGTCATAGAAAGGGTTTTCCCCTGTGGTTTTTTAAAAAAAATTACAGTGAGGTTTTTTTAAAATTATGGTAGGGGTAAGTGAACGTACAGTCCCTGCCTTACATGTTCTTTCTTTGCATTATTTTTGTTGTTGTTCATGTAGATCATCTCAGAGGAGTTGGGAGAGGTTTAGACCACCCTTGGCAAAAGCATCTGTGTATCTCTAGGGAGGGCTGTCCCTCTTGTTCCTAAGGCTGTGCAGATCTTGAGTGCAGCTGTTATCCTGAATGGGCCGATGCATAAGGGTGAACAAAGCAGTGGCTGCTCTTGCATCCCTTTCTGTCTCCAAGGGCCAGCCAGCCACAACTGGAGGCAAAGGGCTCCATCTTGCTGTCTGGCAGCTCCAAGTCCCAGATCTCCCTGAGATGCAGGAGGTGTTGAGAGTTCACCCATTATTCCATTCTTTCTTTTCCAGGCTTCTTTCTCGCTACTGAGTTACCAGAAGGATGAATCAGCAGGATGGAGAGCAGAGCAATCTGGCTCATTCCCTGTTCGAAACTTTTCTCCATGCCAAGCAGAACAAAGAGGTGCTGAACAGCTTTGAGGCTCTGTGCAAACATCTGGGCCTGGAGCATACTGGCCAGCTCCAGTTCTACCACAAGCTCAAGTCTTGCCTCAATTACTGGAATGCCAAAGCTCTGTGGGTCAAGCTGGACAAGAAAGCCAGTCACAGAGACTATGATCAGGGGAAGGCATGTGCCAACACCAAGGTAAGGAGGAAGAGGATGGCTGCTGCACTACTTTGAGATAGGTCACCACATAAAGTGCTGGGAATTGTGCTGCCTTAGGATCAGTTGCGACATGGAAACCAGATGTCTTCTCCTAATGGCAAGCTTCTGGTTCAGGGATATTGCATGATCCTGGGACATCATACCACATAATTTGTTGTTGCTGGGAAAATGGGATTCATTGCTCAGCTTGTGGAGCAGCTGTAATTGGAGGTGCTGTCTGGAAGGTGACCATCATAACTGATGATGAATGAGATCTGTCTCCACGAGAACTGCTGTGGCATAGTGGTTTAGAGTGTCAGACCAGGACCTGGGACAGCACTCTGCCCTGGAAGCTTGCTAGGTGGCCTCGAGTTAGCATACAGTGTGTTTCTTGCTTTTTTTCTCCTTTGGCAAACAATTGGAAGTGATTGCCAGTGCTGTGGTAGAGAGTTAGAAAAAGACAGCAGTTCAGGTACTGTTTAGACAATTTTAAAAGAACACAAAATAACAGCCACTTGATGGGGAGGAGGCACATCACACATCACTAGTGAGGTCACAAGCCCCACAGAGTTGGTACCAGTGACTTTCATGTGACAGCATTGCACACAGCACTATTGCTTGCCATTGCAATTAGTTGAGTAGCTCTGTGGGGTGGGGAGGAGTTGCATTTTCCGACTTAACAAACTGTTGCATGGAGCATAAGAGTTGAACAGAGAGATTGGTGGCAAATAAATTTGTTCCTCATAGCAAGAAGTGCTATCCTGACAAAATGTGTTTGGATCCTCTGGAAGATTGTGTGTAGTGGTTAGAGTGTTGGAATGGGATGTGGGAGACCCAGCTTTGAATCCCAACTCTGCCCTGGAAGCTTGCTGGATGACCTTGGGCCAGTCACGCCCTCTCAGCTTAACCTGCCTCTCAGAGGTGTTGTGAGAATAAAATAGAAGAGAGGAGAGTTATATAAGCCCCCTTGGGTCACCATTGGGAAGAGTAAGAGGGGGTATAAATGAAGTGGATAAATAAATGCTACAACTGAAAGTTAACCAAGCAAATATGGTGCACACAAATGTGGTCCAGAAAAGCCCACTGTCACAAAAAACTTACTGCTTAAAACTTCCCTGTTCTCAACAAAGGAAAATAATATTCAACTGATGTGAGGTTCTGGGCCTCCCCTTGTCCCTGAAGAGCCATACCGTGGCTGCTGTTTGGATTTGGACTTGTTAAACGTTACATTTAGCTCCAGTGTTCATTGTCTGTCAGCACCAGTGTCTACTGTCTGGCACTGTTGTTGTTTTTTTAATTAATCATTCTGTGCCCACTTCTTTCAGTGCCTGATAATTGGGGCAGGCCCCTGTGGTCTCCGCACAGCCATTGAGCTGGCCTTCCTTGGAGCCCATGTGGTGATAGTAGAGAAGAGAGATGCCTTTTCCCGGAACAATGTGCTGCACCTCTGGCCTTTCACCATCCATGACTTGCGGGCGTTGGGGGCCAAAAAATTCTATGGTCACTTCTGCACAGGTTCCTTGGATCACATCAGTAAGTACAACAGGGAAGACTGGCTGACATAGTAGCAGATTGGTGTCCGTTTGCAGTACCATGGAAATGATACTGGCAATGAATTAATTGGCAATGATGGTGGTGATGGAGACAGGTTGGCAGAGGAATATTTGACCAAATGCAGAGAAAGTTTGTTGAAAAGTCAGCAAAAATGTCAGAGTGTTTCAAGGGCCAGCAGTTTTTCAACACAACATTTAATTGTGATAGCTGGGTCACATCATGAGCACCATGCAGCTTTTGGTATTATAGATAAATTGTATGTTGCCCTGGGTACTCTGGCAATGATGCCCAAAAGTCCTGCTTGTCCTCCAGGGGTCTGAATTAATCCTTGTGATTTTGGTCTCATGCAAATCCAAGTGATTGTCAGCCAGTCGGAGGCCATGGAACTCCACTGGATGGGAGGGGGTGAGCAAGCTTAGGAAGAGTGAAGAAAAAGCTTAGGAAGAGTAAAGATCTTCAGACAGGAGATTTCGTAGCTCTGCATCAGCTCAGCCAGGCTTTTATTTGGCATTTAGTTAGGGTTTGGGGTCAGCTTTGGGAAGAAAACTTGCTTCAGTGAGTCAAGTAAGCATCCTGTTAAGGGCCCTACATTCCTAACTTACTTGCACAGGTTCTGTGGACAGGAGCTCTGTGTGATAAAAGAGCAGCCCTGCACCTGCTGAAGTAACCTGTCTGGAGAAAGGGGAATCAAATCTCCCTTCAGGCTTTATCCCCTTTCCTTGACTCTTAGCTATAAAGTGGTTACTCTCATTGGGGAAAGCTTGTCACATATGGGGATGAAACTGAGATGCAGTTCCCTTTATATACTGAAATATTTTCAGATAAGAGCCTTACTCTTTTAAATATGTTATTTTCTGTTAAATAAACCTTAGTTGTTCTCCATCTGTGTCTTGTCTGTCTAGTCAAATATCTATGAAAAAGTGACTTCTGCTTACCTAATTTAGTTCCTGTTGTTGTTGTTTTTAAATGCTGATGATTGTGGGCAGTTGGGGTTTAAAGAATCTATAGGAGAAGCCAGAGTGAGGGACTGGACTTTCTTCAGTCCAGTGGGCAGTTGTCCTCTGTCTTTCTCTTTCTTACCCCATAGCTGCCACAGGTACCCTTTCAAATGACAAATCTTATACAAATATTTTAAGTCAGCATATACATTGGGAAGCCTAACAAGGGAGATGCAGCCTGTCAACCAACATGTGTTGAGGTTGGCTTTGCTGTGACTTGTACACTATTAGCTCATAGTTTTGTTTTTGTTTTTAGCCATGTTGGTTTTCTGTACAAGTCAAGATTCCTCAGTATTTTACTTTTGGGGGCTTAGAATCCTCCTTTTTAAACCCAGAAGCCATGATACCCAGCTCTACCTCCCCCCACTGCACCTAATTCCAAGGATGCTATTGATGTTTTGAACCAGTGCTTGGAGTCAGTAATGAGCTGGATGAGGGTGAAAAAGTGAAAATCCTGATGAGACAGAGGTTCTCTGGGTTTTGTAGAAAGGGCAGGCCAGGGACTTGAGATCTCGCCTGTCTTAGGTGGAGTTATACTCCTCTTGAAAAGGCAGGTTTGCAGGTTGGGAGTGTTGCTTGACCCAGCAGTCACCTTAGAAAATCAGGTGGCTGCGGTGGCTTGGAGCACTTTTGCCCAACTGCATCTTTTCCTGATTCAGTTAGATCTAACCATGGTAAACTATGCCTTAGTTACATCTAGACTGGACTATTGCAATCTGCTGTACTTGGGGCTGCCCTTGAAGAGTGTTCAGAGGCTGCATCTTGTTCAGAATGCAGTGGCTTGACTGCTGGTCGGGGCCAGCTATCTCAAGTATCAATTACACTGGCTTCCCATACACTTCCAAGTCCAATTCAAGGTGTTGGTTTTGACCTTTAAAGCCCTACATGGCTTGGCACCAGGGTGTCTGAAGGACTGTCTTCTCCCATATGTTCCTGCCCAGAATCAAGAACACAGGGAGAAGCCCTCCTGACTTTCCCATCCATCAAAGAAGCTCAGGACCTTTTTAGTGGCAGCACAACAAATGTGGAACAGCCTTCCCAGGGAGGTGTGCCTTGCCCCGTCACTTTCAATCTTTAGGAGGCAGTTGAAGATAGTTTTATTTTGGACCACACTTGGTTAAGTTTATTAGCAGTACTGAATTGTGATTTTAAATCTGTAGTTTTAAAGTTTTTATTGTATTTTATGTGTTCTGTGTATGCTGTAAGCCACCTTGAGGTCCTTAAGGAAGAAAGGTGGCTAATAAGTAAACAAGAACTCAGAGTTCCCAACACCAGGACTTTGACAGGGAGATCAAGACTCAGGCTTCTTTCCAAAATAGGGAAGGAGCTAGCTCAGGTAGCTGGTGGGTGGGGTTGGACACTGAAAAAGACTTCAAGGTGTCCACTGTTGATATTTAGTAGACCAGCAGTGGTTTTCTCTGTTTCTTTTTACAGGTATTCGTCAGCTGCAGCTGATCTTGCTGAAAGTAGCCTTAATCTTGGGTGTGCAGATTCATAACAAAGTGCAGTTTAAGGGGCTCATTCCACCTGCAGCGATGTCAGATGGACAGGGTGAGGATGTCCAGAGACCAGATCCCTGGAGGCTTCAAATACTATGTATGGTATCCAGGCCCCTCATTCACCACCTGTGTGTCCACCTGTGAAGAGTGAGCAGGTTTTCTTTTAAAAAGCAAAGCCACTGATCTTTACTGATTCTTTTCTCCTTGCTGAGAGTGGAGTTCTTTCCCTAAGTAAAATACTAACCTGGTGCCTTGTTGGTAGCATATTTTACTGCTGTTGTGTCTAAAATGCAGAGAATTAACATGCCTTGTAACATTTATAGCTAAAGAAAGACTATCTTTTGGGCTCAGAAACAATCCCTAATATTAGACCTGGCCTGAAGTTAATATGTTGATGCAAAATAAACTCAAAGGCCCCGGTCACATGGGCCAGATAACGCGGGGGGGGGAGGCGTGGCTGTTCGTCCCGGAGCAAAATAAAGTGTGGTAGCCTGATCACATGGACCCCCAAGTCTTCGCGCTTAGGATGTTAGCTGGCGATCACACGGCAATGCTGGAGCGTGGCAAAGAAGCGGCGCGGCAAGCGTTTGTGCACATGTGCAGTTCCGCGGAGCAGCACTGCTTTCAGTTATGCGTTTGTGTGCATGTGCTTACAAAAAACATCTGGTTTTGACGGGATGTGGATGGGCGCCGGATGCCATGGGATACCACTCCTGCGATCAGACGCCCGCCTCTGCCCCACGTTTTCTGGATACTAGTGCACTTTCCGAGGTACATTTTTACTGTGCATCTTTGGCGGGACGCCACGGGTTGGCCACGGGTGCGCTACGCTTCCCAGATGTTGTGGTGTGATCGCGCCCCGAAAATCTGCCTGACATTCATGCCTTTAGCACGGCAAATCCTCCGTGTGACTGGGGCCAAAATCAGTTTGTAAAACTCACTTTGAGAAGATAATTCAGGAGAACCATCATTTCTTGGGAAAGTTTCTTTTTCATTTCCCCCTCTTGATCTTCTGTTTTTCTTTACATTGCTGTCAAACCATTACTAGAAAGAAAACAGGGCTTAACACCCCCCCCCCCATCCCACACCATCACCAAAGTTCCTGTTTTTAGATTGTTTCTCATGTAATGCAGGTTTGTCAAGCTATCTTTTCATGAATTTCCTGTTTTAATTCATGGGTGATGCCCCCTCTTTGCAAGAAAAATCCACAGATGAATGTATGTTTTGGATTTCACATTAGGACACTATAGGACTGCTGCATGTCTTTCAGAGAAGAACCTCTAGAGACTGAGAGTTGTCCTTGCTGCCTTTATAAATAGGCATGTCCAAGGGAGGTAAGGATGGGATTGGCAGCGAGGAAACTGATTCCTCTCCCCCACTCTTTATTCTTGCAGTTGGTGGCTGGAGGGCTGTGCTGCATCCCTGCTTCTCCCCCCTGAGCCAGTATAAATTTGATGTCCTCATCTCCGCAGGCGGAGGCAGGTTTGTTCCAGAAGGTGAGTGGTCATTTAAGACCTGCAGAAGAGGCATGCTCCTTCTGTGGTGCTCAGAGTCTGCAGGAGAGCTTTTGTAGCAGGGTGAGGGGGCAGAGTTTGGAGAATATTAATTTCATTGGTAGTTTTTCTGTGCAACATAAGAAAGCTCCAGGTTTCTTACCAGCATCTTGTTAGGGCAAGAGTCATTCTCGTTCTTAATCCTGGCCTTGAAGAACTGTCCTCTTGCTGAGAGAGGGAAGCTGTGTTTCTGGCTCTCTTGTGTGGGGCAGATGGTCCCCTCTTCCTGAACAGAGTACTAGTGGCAGTCAAAGCAGATGAGAAGCTACTAGCTAGCCAGGACAGATCCATATAGATGTAGCAGTCTGGGTTTTGGAGCCTAACCAGGATTATTCACCAGGGGAAAATGGGTTTGCGTTGTTACATGTTCATATGATTGGAGACATCCTTCTAAAACCTCAGCTTCTGCAATTGTGTCTTTTAGATTTCAGAGAAACAAAGCTTCCTGTTTCTCCTGGTTTGGGATCTAGTAGCTGAATGAATGAATGAAGAGAAAAACAGAAATTGCCTGTTTTTTAAACAATGAATAAACAATTTAAAATTATACAACACTTTGAGTTTTGCAAACAGAAAATCAACTCATAAATTAAACAATTCTTATTTCATGACTGAGGGACTGGAGATGGACCATTCTTTTGCCACTGAGGACTGTAGCTTTGCTTTTCAGTGCCTTTCCTCCAGCTCTCCCAATTAACTGTATTAAGGAGGTCCAATTCATTCTTAGGAGTGTATGAAGACAAGAGCAGTTTCTTGGCTTCACTTTAGCTAACCCTCTCACTGTCAGCTATGCTGCCATGGGGGTTGGGGAGCTCATTCTGTGTCTTGTTAATTGCTTTTGCATTCCTATCCCTGCTGTTATGCCTTTACTGAAATGCTTATCTCTACAGATGTGCAGGAGGACGTTGTATTGTCTGGAAGTCTCCTATGTACTGTGAGAGACTACTGCTTCCCAGCTTTCGCCACCAAACGGTTTCCTAGCTGGTCCCGTGCGCGGGAGGGTAGCTAATTAGCCCATGCCATGGGGGAGGGTGCATACGAATGCCCTATATCCTATTTTGCTCAATGGGTTGCCGCCATTCTTAACAGTGCCTATGTTACTGCACCTATAGCTTTGCAATAAAAGTATAACCGTTCCTGAATGTGTGTACTTCGTTGTTAGCTGTGGGTTCTGACACTCACTTACAGTCTACAGCAACACCAGCTATGTGTATGAGCCCAGCCATGGATCTGAGTAACTTGTGTCATAAAACATCTGAAAGGCATCTAGCCATGGGTCAGGAGAGGAGATGGAAAATGAAAAGGGAAAGGGAGAATTTTCTGCAGACAGTTCGGCACCAGGGAGGTAGCAGCTATGGGTACATCATTTACTGAGGCCTGGCCAGACCATTGACGGTGCTGGCCTAGCTGTCACTGCAGCAATTCCCTGTCTCTCACCTTTGATTTTTCCAATCCTGCCCACAATGCCACCATTCCCCAAACATGAGATACAATTCCTGTTGTGATCCTTTGATGCTACTGCTTTTCCCATGCAGTGTGTTGGAGTTAGACCATAAGAAGAAAGTATGATTTTTCCTTAACGATGTCCTGAGCTTTCTCTCACTGTTCCCTTAGAAAATTTCATATTCAATATTCCATCTTCCTTTGAGAGATGGTAACTGGCACATACCCCTCGGAAGATTCAGTAGTTATCTGAGCTGGGGATTGGAGATGAGCCTCTGGAGGTACAATGGCAATCTGGTTTGATAGATTCAGGCAAGGTAGCCGTGTTGGTCTGAAGCAGCAAAAGAAAATTTGAATCCAGTGGCACCTTTAAGACCAGCAAAGTTTTTGGTCTTAAAGGTACCACTGGACTTGAACTTTAATCTGCTTTGGTCACTTTTAAGATTGCAGATATTGCAGATGAGGGAACTGTCCACATTTGGGGTATATCCACCATATGATTCTTGTCTGTCTTCTCTCATCCCTACTCTCCTCCATCCCTCCACCGTGTTGCTGAGATAATGGGAAGGTCTCTCTATGTTTATCCCTAGGTTTTAAGCGGAAGGAGACCCGTGGGAAACTGGCCATTGGCATCACTGCCAACTTTGTTAATCATCACAGCAGGGCTGAGGTGGAGGTGGCTGAGATCAGTGGAGTGGCTCGCATCTACAACCAGCAGTTCTTCCAAAACCTCTATAACAAAACAGGTCAGGGCCTAATACTCCCCACCTGCAATCAGCAGTGCCTTGCCGTGTATGTCATTCCATGCCCTGGAATGGCAGAAAGCAGGGAGGCCTGGTCAAAATTGTGAGGTTTGTTTGTTCTGTCTCCGTGAATCCTTACCACTATGATGACTTCTAAGAAAAGTAGGGTCAGTTGTGCAAACTGGTTTTTTCAGAGTATTAGGTACAGCTCAGGTTTCTTGGCATAAAATTTCAGTTACCTTCTTGATATTGGTATTTTTAAGTCCCAGCATATATGACTGTGGCTTTTTTTTTTGTCTTTGAACAACTCTAGGTATTGACTTGGAAAATATTGTCTATTATAAAGATGACACTCACTACTTCGTCATGACAGCCAAGAAGCAGAGCTTGCTGAAGAAAGGAGTCATCTTAAATGTACGTAAGAGACTACAGACTCTAACAAGGACCATATGGGAAGGAGACAGATATGG